ATCCACCATCATGGAGACCTCACCTAGTAGCTGATGGAAACAGAAGCAACCTTGGACAACTAAACACTGAGCCAAAATTGAATCCATATGCAGAGAGGGAGGACAAGACCATATTGCAGAAACCCAAAGACATAGCTGATTTGAACAAGGAGGAGATAATGGGGCCCCAGGCTTATAGCTGGGAATCAAACATGGGACTGACACAGACCCCTGAACATGGGTCTCAGCTAAAAGGCCTGTGCAGTCTAACAGTCTTCAGAAAGTGGGACCAGGAAGTATCCATGTTACAAAAAGCACATTGGGGGAAAATCCCCATGGAGGGATACTCCATTAACATTGAGACAGGAGAGACATTTTAGTGTCTACTTAAAATGACTTGAAGGAATTAGATGACCCCTCCTGGTAGGCATCCACCTACGTGTATAGTGTTGTTTGGATGGGAGGGGAGAATGGCTGGGAGCCCGGGAAGTTGGGAGGGGAAGAAGGAGGGTGGGAGTAAGTTGGAGGGAACTGGTTTTATAAGTATAATAAAAAAATTTTACAAATTAACAACATTAAACGATACCAATGTAATTTTCAAAAAACAAAGTTAATATAATTTAATAATTTAAATTTTTTACCTCTATTGACTTTGAAATATCACACCTTCACAGAGAGATCATCACTTCCATCACAAGTTCTAATAGATCTTAATAATAAAAACTCACAGTAATCTAACAGGGAGGGGAAGGTGAAAATTGAAGGATCACAGATTCAGAGCATCTGGCTACTAGAGTTGTTATCTCTACCTATTCTCAGACAAGCGATGTGTTCCTGTCCTCACACTGCCTCCTCAGATTGACTCCTATCACTTCGATCCCTCAGACTAACTTCTCAAACAAAATCATCTCACAACATGCTCTTCTCGCTCCTCTACCTTATCTTCCTCTCTCTGTCCAGCCATGTCACTCCTATCTCCAAATGCCTGCTGCTGGGAATAAAGGCCTGATTCCCATGTCCTGGGACCACCTTAGTGTGAGCTGTTTTTCTTTTAGACAGACTTAGTATGTGTCTAACTAGTGCCATAGTGTGTGTGTCTAACTACTGATTTAATGTGTGTGGATAACTAGTGACCTAGTGTTGGTAGCTAACTAGTGACTTAGGTGTGTAGTTGACTAAATACATAGAAATACATAGGTGCATGGCTAACTACTATCTCAGTGTGTGTGTGGCTGACTATTTTCTTGGTGTTTGTGACTAGCTAGTAAATTAGATGTGTTGCTGACTAGTGACTTAATATGGGTGGGTAAGTAGTGATATATTGTGTGTAACTAACTAGAGACATAGAGACTGTGGCTAACTAGTAACCTAGCTTTGTGGCTAACTAGTGACTTATGCAATGTGGTTAATTACTGCTTAGGCATGTAGCTAAATAGTAACTTAGGTGTATGATTAACTACTGTCTTAGTGTGTGTGGCTAAGTACTGCTTTATTTGTGTGATGGACTTGTGGCTTAGTTTTTGTGGCTAACTAGTGACAAAGGTGTGGGGCTGACTATTGATTTAGGTGTTTGTCTAACTAGTGACTTCATATGTGTGGCTAAATAGTGAGTTAAGTATGTGGCTAACAAGTGGCATGGTGTGTGTGGGTACTAGTGAGCTAGTATGTGTGGCTAACTAGTGGGTTAGTTTGTGGCTAACTAGTGGCTTACACTTAACTACATGTGTAGCTAAATAGTGACTCCGCTTAGTAATCTGATTGTTAGGAACTAGCAGCCATTTGACCCCCCCCCCACCCTGATGATGGGCGGGACCCTCATGGCCATGTCATTGCTACATCAGCTTTACCTGATGGCTCAAGGTTTACCTGGCTGCCAGAGGACTCAGTTACACATGTGCAAGCCTCCCCTTTTAAAGCAAGTGCCCCACACCCCCCCTTTCTCTCCTGCTTTCAGTTGGCCACCAGCTACCCCCTCTTTCTCTCCCTTCTCTCAAAAATCTCCACGTGGGCCCTGAGTCTCGCGTTTGTGTTTCTTAGGCATTAGCTGCACAGCAAAAGAACAACATTGGTGCCGAAACCCAGGCAGACTCTACGTGAGGGTCACTGACAGCTGTCTGCCGGTGGGCGGCCAGCCAGAAACACTCAGGATCTTGTTTCAGATACCAGCGTTCCACCACCATCCCCCCCCCCCCCGTTCACTGGAAATACCACTCCACACAGGCTTCAATTAGGTAAGGTACCCTTTTACATTTTAACCCAATTCCTTAAGGTCAGGTACATTCCATGGGTGGAAGACATACAGCCCAGTGTGGTATATCGGCTCTGCTCTCAGACTGCTGAGTATTTCCGGCCTCTGTTGGTCCTGGCAACGTTTTCGGGCTAACGAGCTTCGAATAACACTCTGCCATTCTTGCAAATCGTGTGGCCACACTCTTGGGCTGATGAGTTCCAAGACTGCATGGTCACTTTCACTCCACTCATGGGGAATAAACCGACCAAGGAAATATCCCCCACCACTCCACTGGGATGCCTGATAGAAAATTTAAAACCCTTTCACTTAATGCCACTTGTAAAGTCACCCAGACTTATTTACCTTTGTACTGAAAAGTAGCCTAGATATCCCCTAGAAAATAATTTAAATTGGCCACGTAACAGCTCTCTAGATCCCGATATTTTATGGGATCTTTCAAATTACTGCCAGAGAACAGATAGATGGAAGGCGTTTTTTTTTTTATATCTCTGCTAAACAATCTCTTTCCCTAAACTTGTTTTGGTTCTCTTCCCGGCATGCTCAAATTCTCCTGCCTGCCCCAGCTGCAACCTGTCTCAGCATGGTGGGCTGGGCTGAGGCAGCATCTGCTCAAGACAAAATTATATCTCAAAACTTTACGATTTCTTTCAGCTGTTGGGAATATGTTTAAGGCAGCCACCATCTTGACCATGTGGCCTAGCTTTACCCACCATGGTTCTTCTTTCTGCTACATCAGCCATCTAGGCAGAAAGAGTCTAGCCAGCTTCTGCCGCCAACAGAACCTGTAAGTCAGTTACCGTTTGCCTTTTATTCTTTGTCTGTAATATCTTTTTTCTCTGACTATGTTATACATAGCTTCACACTCTTGTCCTTCTCAATTTACCCAGTCCTGAATAATATATCTGTACATTCGATTTCAACTTAACTTTATGTAAATGTAAGCTAACTTCATACAACTTAAATTCAACTGTTCTAAGTCTCAAATATTTCTAAATTATTATGTGCCTTTAAATGGTGGAATTTCAGGACTGAAAAAACAGGACGCAGCACCACAGGAAGCTGGGAAATGGAGTCCTGGAGCCTCAGAGACCAGAAGAAGTTTAGGAAATGAAAAGATGGAAACAAGCCCAGCACATGCTGGGAACTGTAGTTAGGGGCCTTGAAGTCCAGAAGAGAATGTCAAGGGGAGAAAAGAAAGAAGCAGCCACACAGCATTCTGGGAAGTGCAGTTCTGGACCCCAAAGTTTTTAACCGGAAGTCCATTCATAGAAAAGCGGACACAAATCATGCTGGGAAATATAGTCCTTGGCTGCCAAAGATGAAAATAAGAAGTCCCTGGGCAGGGAAGCAGGAAGTGGCCACAGAGAATGCTGGGAAATGGAGTCCTGGGCCTCCAAAAACTACAAACTGGAAGTTTCATTGCTGAAAAACAGAAAGCCACCGCAGAGCATGTTGGGAACTACAGTCCCTGGCCGGTACAGATGAAAACCGGAAGTCCCTGGGCATAAAGGCAGGAATCGACTGCACAGAATGCTAGGAAATGCAGTCCTGGACATGAACATCCAAACCCAGAAGTCTCTGGGCAGCGAAGCAGTAAGCGGCCGCATAGGATGCTGGGAAATGCAGTCCCAGCCACAGCAGTTACAAAAGTTCCTGATGGCCTTGTCTCAGGTCAGCCTTGGCTGCGATCTGGGAACAGAATTCATGCCCCACCCTTGATGATTGACCTGAGTCTCTACTGCCAGGTTTCCCTTGCCAGGAAGTTCTGCCCTCGGCTTGCAGCCTGCCCCTCTACCGTTATGAAGATAGCTGACATGGCCCTGCCCAGTCAGCCTGTAGATCACACCCTCAGCAGACCTCATGGCCCAGAGGCAGGAAGTGGGGTCTGTAGTGATTGACAGCTGGAGGGGCAGGGTATGCGGTGACTGACATTACAAGGGCCTGGAGGGGTGAGCTCTGTGATGTCACAGGGGCCACACTCATCATCCTCAGGGTTTTTATTCTCATAACCTGCTCACCATGGCCACCGCCCTCTGGGTCCTAGCATTGCTGCTTGGTAACCTAAGAGTTTGGTAGAAGACTCCTGCCATGCCCAGCTGGGGGTGGAGATGGTGAGGGTAGGGAAGGAGGGCACTTCCTGCTCACAGTCACAATTTCCTGTGATGTCACTGCCTGGACCAAGTCCTGTCTGCACCATAGGTAATACCCAGACCCCGGCCCTGCCCTCGGGGACCCTAGGAGAGAAAGTGGGGAAGGGCCTGGTGTGGTTGAGGGCAGGGCCTGGAGAGGGTCACTGATTGTGACCTTGGACACTGTGACCTCGGGGTAGGGGACAGGTGAGCTAGGGTAGTGCTGAAGGGGTGGGGCCTGATGCTGAGCAGTAAAAACATGCCACTCATTTAAATATGCAAATGAGGCTACTAAACTGTTATGTAATGTATGCACTAGTAATTTTGATTATGCAAATAAGCACAGTGCCTGAAAATCTGGAAGTCTGATTGGGGCTTCACATTTGAGTATGTAAATGAGCAAACCCCAGTTTCGGAAATACACTTTAATATGCAAATTTGTGCTGCTTTGCATGCTTTTGCTATGCAAATGAATGCAAGTATTCCCATCTGTTTGGGACTTTGACCTGCAAATACATGCAGGTTAGGTCATTTGGAGGTGTGGCCATGCAAATTAACCCCAGCAGTTTCTGTACTTGATGTCTTCTGAGTCTCCAGGCAGCTCTTGAATATGCAAATCAGAGTGCGGGCAGGGTGTGGGGCCTCCCCTGACCCTGCTCCTGATGTCAAATGTCCATCACAGGCATCTGATAGTGAAGCTGCTCATGCAGGACCCAGTGGGGGCAAGGGCAGGGCCCATGGAGATGGTGAGGGCGGGGCATCAGGAGGGGCAGGGCCACAGGGGCGGGTTTAGGTGTACTCCCCTCGGTGGGCCTGTCCCCTAACCCTGCCTCCACACACCTCACCCCATGTCCTGTGTCCTAGCACTGGGAAGTGATGCACTTGAGGGAACCTTGCTCTGTCAATCAAACACAATGCACCAAGGGCATAATGGGAAATGGGTCACTGCTTCACAAACTCACCAGAAGTCCCGCCCCTTCAGTCACTCTCTCACCAGAATTCCCGCCCAGACTGTCACTCACATACTCACTCTCCATCTACAATCCTCATTATTGGGGTGTGGCCGGACGCTGGCTGACAGGGACGTGTGGTCCCACATCAGGGAAGATGGCAGCCAGCTCACGCATGCAGCGGTTGAGTGGAAACCCCACGGCATTGAAGAAATCTCCTTCCACGCGCTCTGCTAGGGCACCACCTCGCGCCTGAAGCCCATGGGCGCCAGCCTTGTCCCTGGGTGCAAGGCAGGGACGAAGTCACACCAGGTGCCATGCTCAGCCACACCCACGCCCGCCGGGGACAGCTCTTCCTTTTCAGGCCTCACTTCCAGGTTTCCTGGCCCCACCCACCCCACCCCACACCCACTCACAGAGGCTCCCCGCTCTCCACGTATTCGCACAGCAGTGGCTCCGATAGCCGCGAGAATGTCACATGGGTCTCTTCGTGGAACAGTGACAATTCCACTTCTGCTTCTGGGTCCCCTTCCGCCTCTGGGGCCTCTGGGCATATGGAACTTGGCTCCTGAAGCTGCATCCACCACAGTGGCCTCAAGATGGCCACACCGGTGATGACACTGTGCTGCTGGCCACTCAGCCTGGGCGGGGCCAGGGAAGGCGGGACAGGGCGTGGTTGGCAAGGGGCAGGGCTGGGGTGGGCAGAGGCTGGAGCTCCATGCAGAGGCCCCGCCCACTCTGCCCTGGGTGTGTCTGCCCCGCCCCTTCAGGCCCCGCCCACCTGTGCAGCATCCTGTAGGCATCATCCTTGTCCTTTGGCTTGTCCAGGATGATGCCAACCACGGCCTGCAGTGGGCGGGACCAGACGCCAAGGGGCCGGGTCAGTGAGGGGCGGGGCGGGCAGGGCTGGAAAGGGCGGGGCCTCACTCACCACGATGGTGTTGGAATGACATCAGGCGGGTGCAAGTCTTAAAGGGCAGAGGGCGGGGCAGGCTTATGGGCGGGGCCTTGAAAGAAAGGGGTGTGGCCTACCACCTGACCAGAAGGGATGGGGCCGTCCTCACCCTGAGCAGCTGCGATGCCACCTCCAGCGACTTCAGCTTAGCTGTCTCCCAGGCATATTCGGGCAGAGCTGGAAACCCTGCCTTCTCCAGGGACTCCTGGAAGTGGGAGGGTACGACCTCGAACTGCAGGCCCTGGGGGGTGGTGTGCTGTCAGTCACAGCAGCCCCCGCCCCTGGAAGTCACAGCTGACAATCCCAGAGCAGGCCCTGCCCCTGGAAGTCACCATGGAGGACAGGATGTCCCGCCTCCTGGGGGAGCTGCTTGCCAGCACCACCCTCTTCCCCTGCAGCAGCCTGGTGAGTGGAACCAGCTCCATGTTGAAAGGATCGCACATTTCCGGTCTGGGGGGTTCACTTCCGTTCTGGGAGGGACCAGAAATTGTCCACTTCCGGCTTGAGACAACCAATTCCGGTTCCTCTGAGATGATGGGACTTATTTCCTGCCCCTTGGTGCGCAAAAAAGATGGCGGGGTTCAAGATGGCCATGGGCTACAGTGTAGGTAAAAGCAAACAGGAAATCCTGCCTACTGCCTGTCTTTGTCAGAGCCTTATCCTCAGGGACCGCAAGTCCCGCCTCCAGCACACACAGGAAGTGATTGAATGAATGAATGATTGTACAATGAATTAATGAGTTAATGACTGAATGGATGAGTAAATGAATGAATGTATGAATGAATGAATGAGCTAATGAATGAATGACTGAAATGACTGAATTACTTCATGAATGACTGACCTTTGACTGAATGAGTGAATGAATGACTGAATGAACTAATTAATGACTGAATCAATGAATGAATGACTACATGAATGAATGATTGAATGAATGACTGAATGAATGAGTGAATGACTGAGTAAATGAATTAATGACTGAATAAATGAATGAATGACTAAATGAATGAGTGACTGAATGAATGTGTGGCTGAGTGAATGACTGAATGAATGAGTGAATGAATGACTGAATGACAGGTGTTTGATTGACAGCTGTGTGCCCTACAGGCCACGCCTGTAACTCCTCTGACATCACGGCTCCTGTGACACCGCCCATCCCCTGGGAACCTCTCTAAGTCATTAATTCCTGGTCAAAGCTCCCACGCAGAAGTCCCGCCCCGATTTACCCGGTTTCCCTGGCAACAGGAACCCTGCTGCCAACCGTGGCATAAACAGGGAAACAGCGAAAACCAGAGGGGTGCACGGACCTAGGGTTGCGATCTGTTTCTGCCCTGTTCGCCGCACCCGGAAGTCCCACCTACCGCCTCGATGAGTGACAGGGAATATGCTCTGTGCTGCCTCTTTTGCGGTCAGAATCAGCCGTTTCTGACCTGTTCACTTGGACCTGTTAGTCCCATCTCTTAAGGCGTTTCCTATCGGGCCCGCAATGTCCGATGCGATCAATTCCCTTCCTGGGCCGAAAGCGGATCCGATTTAATAGCCGCCCGGTGGGCAGGGAATAGCATGTTGCACCATCCGTAAGCGGAAGTAATGTGCTGGAAGTGGAACTCAGGCTGCAGCGCACTCCGTCCTGTTTACTTCACGGGTGGAACTCAAGTTGTGCATCTCTTCATAGCAACCTTTCCTGGGGGCCATTTTGTGTAAAGCTCAAGTCAGTGACTGGAAGCCTGACGTCCTTGGTTCACAAGCGGAAATAAAGAAAGAAATTAAAGACTTTCTAATATTCAACGAGAATGAGGATACAACATACCAGAACTTATGGGACACCTTGAAAGCAGTGCTACGAGGGAAGTTCATTGCACTAAGTGCCCATATGAAGAAAACAGAGGATAGTCACATAAATGAATTAACAGCGCAACTGAAAACCTTAGAACAGAGAGAAGCGAATTCACCCCGCAGGAGCAGACGCCAGGAAATAATCAACTTGAGGGCTGAAATCAACAAAATAGAAACCAGGAAAACAATACAAAAAATCAATGCAACAAAGAGTTGGTTTTTTGAGAAAATCAACAAGATAGATAAACCTTTATTCAAATTAACGAAAAAGCAGAGACAGAACATGCAAATTAACAAAATCAGAAACGAAATGGGGAACATAACAACAGACACAGAGGAAATCCAGACAATTTTCAGGTCATACTTCGAAAATCTGTATTCCACAAAAATTGAAAATTCAAAGGAAATGGACAAGTTTCTGGATAACTATCACTTACCAAAATTAAATCAAGAACAGACAAACAACTTAAATAGACCTATAACCTGCAATGAAATAGAAGCAGTCATCGAAAGCCTTCCAACGAAAAAAAGTCCAGGGCCAGATGGATTCAGTGCAGAATTCTACCAGACATTCAAGGAAGAACTAATACCACTACTCCTCAAACTGTTCCACAAGATAGAAACAGAAGGTTTATTGCCAATCTCTTTTTATGAGGCCACAATAACTTTGGTACCCAAACCTCACAAAGACACAACTAAGAAAGAAAACTACAGACCAATATCCCTGATGAACATCGATGCAAAAATACTCAATAAAATAATGGCAAACCGAATTCAAAAATACATCAGAGAAATCATCCACCATGATCAAGTAGGCTTCATACCTGGATTGCAGGGATGGTTTAACATACGAAAATCTATCAACGTGATCCACCATATAAACAAACTGAAAAAGAAAAACCATATGATTATCTCCCTAGATGCAGAAAAAGCCTTCGATAAAATTCAACACCCTTTCATGATAAAGGTATTAGAGAGGTCAGGGATAACAGGAACATACCTAAACATAATAAGAGCAATATACAGCAAACCAACTGCCAACATCAAACTGAATGGAGAGAAACTTAAGCCAAATCCTCTAAAATCAGGAACAAGACAAGGCTGTCCTCTCTCTCCATATCTCTTCAATATCGTACTAGAAGTTCTAGCTAATGCTATAAGACAACAAAAGGAGATCAAGGGCATCCAAATTGGAAAGGAAGAAGTCAAACTGTCTCTATTTGCAGATGATATGATAGTTTACATAAGCGACCCAATAAACTCTACCAGGGAACTCCTACAGCTGATAAACACCTTCAGCAAACTAGCAGGATACAAGATAAACTCAAAAAAATCAGTAGCCCTATTTTTTTCAGACGACAAAGAGGCAGAGAAAGAAATCAGAGAAACATCACCCTTTACAATAGCCACAAGCAACATAAAGTATCTTGGTGTAATGCTTACCAAACAAGTAAAAGATCTATATAATAAGAACTTTGTGACTCTAAAGAAAGAAATTAAAGAAGATACCAGAAAATGGAAAGACCTCCCATGCTCTTGGATAGGTAGGATAAACATAGTAAAAATGGCAATCTTACCAAAAGAAATCTACAGATTCAATGCAATCCCCATTAAAATCCCACCACAATTCTTCACCGACCTTGAAAGGATAATAATCAACTTTATATGGAAAAACAAAAGACCCAGGATAGCCAAAACAACCCTATACAATAAAAGAACATCAGGAGGCATCACCATTCCTGACTTTAAGCTCTACTACAGAGCTATAGTTCTGAAAACAGCCTGGTATTGGCATAAACATAGACAGGTAGACCAATGGAATCGAATTGAAAATCCTGATATTAATCCACGCACCTATGAACACCTGATTTTCGACAAAACAGCTAAAATTATACAATGGGGCAAAGACAGCATCTTCAACAAATGGTGCTGGCACAATTGGATGAGGGTGTGTAGAAGACTGCAGATAGACCCATGTCTGTCGCCATGCACAAAACTCAAGTCCAAATGGATCAAAGACCTCAACATCAATCCAGCCACATTGAACCTCTTAGAAGAGAAAGTAGGAGGTACCCTTGAACAAATTGGTATAGGAGACCGCTTCTTGAACATAACTCCAGGGGCACAGACACTGAAAGAAACAATTAATAAATGGGACCTCTTCAAACTTAGAAGCTTCTGTAAGGAAAAGGACACAGTTGACAAGACCAAACGGCAGCCCACTGACTGGGAAAAGATTTTCACTAATCCTATATCCGACAAAGGGCTGATCTCCAAAATATACAAAGAACTCAAGAAACTAGTCAACAAAACACCAAATAACCCTATTAAAAAATGGGGTACAGAACTGAAGAAAGAATTCTCAATGGAGGAAATCAAAAAGGCTGAAAGACACTTAAGAAAATGCTCCACATCCTTAGCTATCAGGGAAATGCAAATCAAAACAACTTTGAGATACCATCTTACCCCTGCCAGAATGGCTAAAATTAGAAACACCAGTGATGACTTATGTTGGAGAGGATGTGGAGAAAGTGGAACACTCCTCCACTGCTGGTGGGAGTGCAAACTCATACAGCCACTTTGGAGATCAGTATGGCGGTTCCTCAGGAAAATGGGAATTAGTTTACCACAGGACCCGGCAATCCCCGTCTTAGGCATATACCCAAAGGATTCACATCCATGCAACAAAGACATCTGTTCAACTATGTTCATAGCAGCACTATTTGTAATAGCAAGAACCTGGAAGCAACCTAGATGCCCTTCAATTGAAGAATGGTTAATGAAGATGTGGCACATCTACACAATGGAATACTACTCTGCAGAAAAAAATAATGGTATCTTGAAATTCGCAGGCAAGTGGATGGCACTTGAAGAAACCATCCTGAATGAGGTAACCCAGTCAGAAAAAGAGGAACACAGTATGTACTCACTCATATATGGATTTTAGACCTAGATCAAAT